ATATATATATATATATATAATCTTTTCTTCTCACTGCCTACCATTAGAAGAAAACAGCATTGTGATATGAGGAGGCCTTTAATGGGGCCCTGAGATCGTTAAGAAGAATTTTAATGTCCCTGAAACCAGGTGTGTGATGCCAGGTGGAGTGATTTTTCCCATTTCCAGTTTGTCCAGAGGCCTTTCCTGGCAGAACCTCTAGCCCATGAGACTTCCTCTTCGTCTTGCACGAAGGGTACGGTTTGGTTCTGACGCATGGATCCTCGAAGCCGCTGTGCGTCCTCACAATCTGTTATGCTAAATCACACCTGGTGTCTGCACAGAGAAGGCGCTGGCAAGCATCCTGGCCGCTGGGACCCAGGCCTCTGACTCTGGCGCCAGAACACGGCAGTGTTGCAGAGAGCCTTCCGAGAGCCTGGCTCACCGGCACGGGAAATTAACCTGCTTGTTCTCACGTTAAATGGTTTATGAAAATTTACTGGGCGCAGAAAGAGGGAAGAAAACCCAAGTGTTTCCGCAGTGAGCCTGCCTGGCACCAGTGAAGGCATGAAGCCGCCGAGAAAGTCAACCTGAAGAGCTGGCAAGAGGAAGAGGTGTAAAACGCAATGAAAATCAAGTGAGGTGCAGCCATTGCATTGTTTTATTAGCATTTTGTTGAGGGAGACATTTAATTATAGAAGATCTGTGTTCTTGAGCTAGGTCAGATGACAGGGGGCTCTGCCACCTTCTCCATGGTACCCAAATCCAGAGGAATTGTCGCTTGCTCCAATAGACCACAAAGAGAAACCTCCTTCTGTGTGGCTTGGACTCTCCCCTGTAACCAAACCATAAAAGGGCAGAATCTGCCATATGTACATAATACTCTGATGGCCATCATCACCCTCCATTCTTTTCCACATTATATTTTTCTTCTTTTTCCTTGTTGATTTTAGAATAAAATAAAATCGGTAAAGAATACAGTGCAGAAGTTCTACTTTTTAAAATACCTGTAAATTTGCCATCTAAAATAACTTTTTTTAAGTACCACTTTCCTTAGGAAATAATTAGGAAGCAAGACAACAAACCATGAAAAACAAATGATTACCTCCTATAAAATGAGGTTGTGAATATATATACATACATATATATGTATTTGAGCAACAGAAACAAAAATATGGAAAGAGAGAACCAACTGGTAATATTTTGCAGAGAATTTTTCGACTCCTTTTCATTTTAAAGCTCACCTACCTTCAGAGTAGTTTAGGAGGATAACGATCCAATTCAGTGTATGCAAGAAATCTTTCTTTACGGTCTCTTTCTGCCATCACAGAGCTTACTCGGTTACCTGCTTTCTTTCTTCAGGGCTGACAGGAAGGCTGATCAGCACTGAGGAATGTAAAGAATTCTGTGTGGGGGGAAAAATAAAAATAAAAATAAATAAAAAAGAAAAAGAATTCTGTGTGGTACCTGGCCGGTTTGGCTCAATGGATAGAGGTCGGCCTGTGGCCGGAAAGTCCCAGGTTCGATTCCGGTCAAGGGCACATGCCCGGGTTGCAGGCTTGATCCCCAGTAGGGGGCGTGCAGGAGGCAGACAATCAGTGAGTCTCTATCATCAT